TTATAATTTGTTTACTTAAGCTATACATTCTTGTGTAAATTTATAATCCTAGATACTTGTTTTAAAATATTATATTTTTATTTATTTTATCTAATCTACAGTTCCTTACTACTCATTTTTTTATTTTAAAGCTGGCATACTAATGTATAACTCTGAGTCTAGAAAAGATGATTAACACTGTCTTACAATATAGCTGAACACATTTAACATAAAACAATGAATATTGTTTCTTTTGTCATTTTTATACAACACGTTCAATGCAAAAACACAAACATGTTTTCTCAAAGATAGGATGAAGGATAATTTCAAATTTATCCTGATATTCAACAATCTTTTGTTTAATTTGTTATGTATAATAACACGTAATTAAAAGATTATTCAACTTTATACAACTTAATAATTGTATAAGATACCCAAACTTCATAATAACTTGATTGCTGTTAATGATAGAAACAGATATATTATTCCAAACTTGTCTGGTGTTCAGAAAAACATAATCTAATATGTTTTTTTTTATTATTGCAATCAAATAATATGACTATTTACTTTTTATTTATTTGTATTATTTATTTTCATTTAAACACATTCATTCAATTAAAATCGATATAAACTATGAATAACCTTTACCTGAAAATATATCGACAAAAGAACCGTATAATCTAATAATAATTCCATACGTATCTTTTCTTCAACTGATTCCGGGGACGTGTGAAAAACATAAACCTTTTGAAGTTGCGTTGGATGCAATTTATAGACTGTGCAGTAAGACATGCTACTAGTATTACCAAGAATCGTGCAAGTCCTGACAGTTCGATGACATTTCTCAAGAAGATTTACCATGTATATCACATCAGGGGGCTTCGAGAAAGTCACCATATTTGTTCCATCAGGAACAGGTATAACTTGCAGGCATTTACTCTGAAATGGATACAGACGTGAAGGATACCCTCCACTGTTACTGTCATGTACTTGGACACCTATAGAGCGTTAGAGATAACAGAAAAAAGGAGTCAGTAAGGTCAGGAGGTGTCATAGAAAAATCTGTAAAGAAATCTGAGCCGTTTACCAATTAAACTCGAATTAGTTAATGAGAACTCGTTTAATATTGTTGGTTATTTAATTATGTTTCTATTACTATTAAATTTAGCAAACTGGATGTTCTGACGGATATTAAACTTTATAAATATTATTTGGTAGAAATTCATGTTGATTTTTGTTGATGCGATTGTATAAATACATATTTTAATTCTCTACTTTTGAAGCTACGATTTCCAAAATTTGTATAAACAAACATTAATTTTTTTAAGAATAAAATAAAATATACAATAAATGTCTGTAAACCTAGTGGTAATTATTTTTAATAAGACCGATTCTTCCTGATTACAATAAAGAATTAACGGAATAAAAAACGCTATGCCAATTTTTAACCATTAGAGGGATAAGGAATTGTCATGGAAACGAAAGAATCTGTTTTATTGGATCATTGAAATATAAATAGTTATACTCGAGGAGAAAAGGCACAAAGCCATGCTTTGCAATGTGATAACTAGACAGCGAATTCTTATACAAAATCAAAATTTCTTAAAGTAATTTAAAAAATCAAAAATTAAAAGCAGAATCCGATTTCTTCTTTTATATATTTTAACCCCTTGCACTATGATCACTTTCATAAGTAACAAAACGAAAGAACTTCACACTCATTCTATGTCTACGTACACTCTGAAATACCATAATTAATAACGAGAAAGTAATATTTAATTTGGATTTAAAAGAATTAAGTGACATTTGTATTTGCTAAATTTTATTTGAAATCTTCGTCACGAGTCCAATGCGATATTGCAGGGCAAGGAGTCAACCCCTTCTTCTATAATACCGAGTCAGACTCATGATGAAAATTTTCAACCGAGTTGGCCAGATTTAAACGTTATTTGTTTGTTTGTCATATAAATAAAATATTACTTGTCTATTATCAATTTTTAACCTTTGTAGTAAACGTAGACAGAGAGTAAGCAACGAATTCTTTTTTTTTCCTACTAAACTATTAACGACAAAGTAGTTTTATCAAGTACAGTTGTGAAAGAGCGCATAGAACAGTAGAATAATAAGTTAAAAACTAACAACACTTTTTAAGTCCACAACCACTTCTTTACTGTATATCCTACAGATTTCGAAAATCCACTATCTAGTGTTAATATTTCAGGCAATATGCAGGAAAAATTATATTCATTAGTGAATATGCTAATATCCTTTTCCAAACCATCTATTCAATGTCCTTATGCAACACAGTTGCAATTCAGGATGCTGGATATTCCATACACATCCAATCTATTGCGCATCTCATTTCAACATTTCCAATCGATCCATCGGCAGATATTGTAGCAATCGAGTAAGAAAGAAACGAATAAATAAACTCACAGATAACGTTTCGTTGTGTGTATTGATGTAATGACGATAATGTTACTCGTACGATTGACATATCGATCGTATTTCCCTTGGCTTCTATTTATTGCGATTCTGTATAGGATTACAGATCTGTAATGTAACACTTGTAATTACTTGTATAGCGATCTCAACCACGCTGATGCGTGATGGATTATCCGGAGTGACGTGCACGGGAACGAAATCGCTCTTGAATGTTGCATTTAACGATTCTTTTTTCTTCGCTCTCGTTTCGCGGCCACAAATTCAAGCAGAAGAGACATGAATGAAAAAAAAACTCGCCGCTTTTTTACTGCCGTTAGACTGGTATATATAGTTAATCCATCTGTTATGTTATATCGCTACAGGAGTTATCTTTTCTTTTATCTTCAATTTCGGCGAACTGTTTGTTTCTCGTTTACCGAAAACACGCATACTTTATTATTATACAATGGCGATAGACGGGAACCAGGGACTGAAAAGGTTCCGAAAATAACTGTTTGAAACTGTTATATATTGGTTCCGACTAAACCAGTTATGAAGAACTGAAATAAGTCATAATTATTTTATATATAGGTTCTGAGGAATATCGGTTTCGGTTCTGGTTCTTCGATATTATATCGGTTCTGAAACGATCCTATAACTGTAATTTTTCGGTTCTTGAAACAGTTATGAAGAATCGAAATGAAGAACCGAAACATAATGGTTATAGAACTGTTTCAGAACCAATGTAGTACTGGAGAATCGGAACCAATATAGCCCAGAACCGATATATCGAATAACAGTTATAACTTATTTTGATTCTTCATAACTGTTTCAAAAATCGAAACCGATATTATAAGTACTGCCAATCCTTGCCATGACCTCAACGGAAATATCGACGTTCTTCGCGCTTTCGCGTTCTCGCTCACACGTAACGCTGCGTTCTGCGTGCAGTGCTGCCAACACAATAAGAAGCTTCGATCGATTTAGTTCTATCAATGAGGGAGTGTTTCTTCCTCGATCTTTTATGAATTGTTCTTTTTATTTCTTATTTAATTAAAATAGAGTCGATATTGTTGAGATAGCGTGACTAGTTGTGAATTAGATATTCAAATAGTGAATACAATTATTAGTTTTCTTTTTTATATGATAACAAAGTACGGATTTGTTATGTTTTAACTTTTTCATTTTTTCTCGTTATGTTTTGTGCTTAGAATAATGATGGGAAGGGCGACGAGGCTCATATAACACGGTTTCACACAACACGACATTTTCTAGGAACTTATTTTCCGTGTTATAGGAGGGTTACGCGTACTTTGTTTATTTATCTCATATTTTATATACATTGCTAATTGTGATTTATAAATTTTCAAAGATTGTGTATTTCTTAAATGTAATAGAATAATTGTAGGAAATTATATATTTTGTTGCTTTCTGATTGCTATAAAGTGTTTAATTAAGGATATTCAAATAATTCGAATAATGAAGCTATTTGTTGAGAGATAATATTAATGCAAAAGAAAATATTTATACATCTGTGAAAAGATGTTTACTATTTGCACAAAATAGTTTATGAAAACGAGAATTTACATAAATGTTCACAATCTAGCTATAGGAAACAACACATTTTTCCATAATACTTTCTACTCTAAAGTAATTAAAAAAAATTGAATTAAATTTTTAGTTCATGATTTCCGAAAATTGATTTGATAAGTTTTTAGCCTCTTTTTACTTTTTCAACTTTAATATTACGTTTATTACACTAACTCATGTAAAAACTGTCATCTACGAAATTTCGTTTGTGAAAAAGATCGTGAAAGTATTCTATTCTAGATCTGTTTCCGCAATTTAGAGGAACCACATCATCGCGGTATTATCTGGGAATGGACATTTAAGTGGCTTTGCTCACCGCGGGTAAAGAGGTCCAATTTCAGTTCCGCCGGAAGTAATAGCGAACTTTGCCAGTGGTTGTTACAATGTAGCTGGGTTGCGTAACCGTAATGTAACTCTTGGGAAAGTTTTTTTTTTAACACTAGATTTGCAGAACTTGTCAATTATTTATATAGTAAAAGTTTAAGTCCATCTTTATTAATGCAACTATGGGAATACATGTTTTAATTTTCTGTTCTTGAAGCTTTAATTTCCAAGATCTACATAAATGATCACATGTTTTTCTAGGAACAATACGATAAAGTGTTCAAAAAATGTCCGTAAATCTAGTATTAACTCTTTGCACTCGAGAGGCGACTCTGAGTCGCCGTTTTATTCATCACAGTAAAATTGTGAGCCTTAAAATTGTTGAATTTTAATTTAATTTAATTAAATTCTTTTTAACCTTAATTAAATCCTTTAACCTATGCAAGATTTCTCTTCACCTTAATTGTAAATAATATCATTCATATTCCATTAGAAAATAACGTATATTTATACTGAAAATTTCTGTCAAGTGCAAAGGGTTATTACTATTTTAAACAAAACAGAATAAACAAGGAAATAAAAGAAACTTTAAAAAAAACCTTTTATCTCTTACTTATATACTTTTCACTTTCCTCTTCACAATGTTCAACTCGTAACTGGTAAGGTGCGGTGAAAGAATGATCGATACCATTTACTTGTTTTGTTTTTTTTCCACATTGAACTTCGAATGAAGTGCAGAAATATTTAATTTATCGTTTATTTGTAATTCTTTACATTAGTCTTACGGCTTACATCGTCGTGACAAGTTAACATAGCGTACATGTAAGTACAGTCGTGTACAGAGTGACTAAGAAGAAAAAGAAAAAGTAAATGAAGACGATCAACAATTTATCGCTTCGGTAAGTCCCGTGCATATGAACCTTGCATTACAAATACTCGGCTCCGAGTCGAAGCAGAAACGGTTCGAAAATCAAATTAACCGCAACGTTGCCTGCATTGTTACACTATACACGAATTCATACACGGTCCGGTTACCAAACCATAAATTCCTAAAAGTGTTCAATCACTTTCTTTTCGTAACAGTTTGTTCGAAGCATCGTCGTTTCCATCGTAGAATCGATCGAATCCTATCAGTCGTGTAAGAAGCGTCTCGCCCTACCGATTGGTGGGATGAGAATGGTGGGTGGACTGGGAGGGTGGGTGGGATGGTGGGGGCTCATAAGAAAAATGACGTCTGTTAGAGATTATCTATTCTATTAGCCTAACCGTTAAATTAAATATTAAATTACATCAGTACTTTGAGATATCGTGCATTACAATCAAAATTCTTATCCCTTCCCGATCTCTCGTTCTCGCTCGTCGCGACGCACGGGTCGGTCGAACAACGAATTATCCGCGCGCAGGGCGCACACGCGAAATTAGCTTGACCGTGTCGGGCCACGCTGCCACATAACCGACAGGGGCTGGTCCGAGCCGTTTCCCGCCGAAGGACAGCCAACCAACATATACGAAGAACACAGAAAAACGATCGACGCGCGTGCGAATTCGTACAAGTAAAACACATGATCGTAGTAAAGACGTATGTACACGGAGTCAACTGTTTACAATAAATAAGTCCTTAATAAATATACTACTAGAATTAATAGGTCGTTCCCTACAAATGATTCGTAGCGAGGTGAAATTGTGAAGCCGTTGCATGGGCGGACGCGTCTGTTTCAGGTGTCGCAGGATACAAAAATGAAATCTTCGAACAGAGAGATTCATGGAGACGCGCGTGCATCGTGAATCTCGCGGCGACAGCGCGCGACTGTGCTTTGTGACTTTTTGAACAAAGAACGAACAAACATCGAGAGAAACGAATTGTGTCGGTGTTATATGAAGTACAAAATGCAACTAAAACGTCGAGCTAGGCGACGAGGATCCTCGTTCTCAGGATCCGCGGATTGTATTAGTCGTCCACGCTGTGATCTCTTCGGTTACGAAATCTGCCAGTCACCGATTTCTCTTTCTACGATGATAAGCCACGGAGAAATGTTTGTTACCGACGTTCCTTGCGCGGACTGTTTCGCTAGTCTCTATCACGCTTAAAAAAAAACAATAAATAATTTAGGAATCGAACACTGCTACGCTTACCTTTCAACACGTTCCCAGTTGTTTTTGATTGAAATCAAACTTTTGAAAAGATTCGAACGTTGTTCCTTGTTTTTCTATTTTATAAACTATTTCTTTATTATTTTATATGATAATCTTTATTTTATGTAGGTATAACGAATTTTTGGAATTGACGCGGTGAGAAATGTGCTAAACGAAAAAGTTAAATTAACGAAATGAACACAGCGTTGCATAGAATCATAATATTAAGGAGATACATTTTTGTATTCTTTTTCATTCTTTCTGTTTTTCTTTGTAGTAAATTTGAAACACATTTATTTGACGCGAAACGAAAGGCGGAAACATGACTCAGACGTTTTCCGATGTGTTATAGAACGATTTAGAACGTCGCATTTGTGTTTCGCAAGGTCCACGGGGCGGTACACTGTTCATCTCGTAAGCGCCTATCGGTCTTATCATATAATTACAAATTTTTGGCAGTCGGGTTTTGCCGTCGTTAAAATACAATTTCAACTTAACATTAATTTTACGAGTAAATATTTTCTAACAGCGTAATACTCTTCTTAGCCATTTAATACTTTGGATCCTTCTACAAGAACCGTACGAAATTAACTTCACCGTTCATGAAAATTCCATTAATCCGGAACTTGCCCGAAATTCTGTCTCGACAAGCCGTTTTACATTCTTTTTACTCACAGGTCGCTCCTATTCAAAAAATACTTTCGCATAACAAACAGTCTGATCACCATAGAAACTTTACATTCATTTCTTACTACGATAGGAAGTCGAATTTCAATGTACAATTGTCGCTGACGTTGCAGCGAACGTGTCCAGCGTTTTACTTTTACTCTAAAAGGAACATTTTTTTATTGGATTAAAGTACCTTGAACACAACAGTATTAATCGCTATCGTATCTCGTTGTATGTTTCTTCTATAATGTTCTAATTGTTAACAATTTAGCTTGGTCTCTTTCATTTTCTCGATTACTCTAATTGTATTTGAATCAGACCTGGGTAATATATTTAGAAACGCTTTTTCTTCTATATGGATTGTACCATTTTGTTTCATATTACATAATCTTTCACCTTATTTTTCATGCTTCAATAAATTTCAAATATTTTCCGACCTTCTTCTGTATGAAGAAGTGATTTGCTCTTTGCTAAGTCATGCAAGTATTCAAGAGTCGAACATCTTATCATAACGCAAAATAGATACTTGCAAAATATGTGAAATACATGAGACATTTCCATAAATTACACTTTTCGAATACATTCATTTTGCCTTATATATGGAAAATATTAGTTCTAAAGTACGCATTACAAAAATTTCGATGTAATCGCTGTCGGAGCATCAATCCAATGATTCTGATGTTATCCTTGTCACACAAGATTTCGTATTATCCAGTAATATAATCGAGAAACAAGATTGATTTCAAAAAAATAAATAATACGTCGAATGAACTTATTTTCCTATTCAAAGAAGTAACTAAATTTCATATTTTCTCGTCTTAAATGCCTACAACCGGACTACGCCGTTTACGTATTTGTAACAAACATGAAAATTAAATAAAGTACTGCAAACGAAATTCCATAAAATTCGCAGATACTACGTACTGCTTCGATGAAACTCTTAACAAAGAAAATTATCAATTCTCCTTCGACATTCACGAACATTGCTTCTAAACATAGATGCCAATTCCCACGAAAAACCTACGCAAATGAATTTTCGTTGTCACGTAAATTCGCACCCAGGTCTGGTTCAGGTTTCCCCTGGTGTCTCAGCTGCTCGTCGACATAGTCCCCACCGTTATTGCCGTATCCCCTAGTCGACATCGCGTATTGTCTCGTGCTCCTTGCTAAAATACTATGTACCGTTGCTTCTCTTTCCCGTGAAATGCTCGCCGCGCTAATTAGGACAAGTTTTTCGTCGATACTGTACTACAGGTGGATGACTTGATGTCTAGAATCTACAAGGGCAGCACAGAGGCAAGAGGTATCTTTCCAATTTACAGTTTTATAGTTTCGATTAGTTACATATAACTGCATCGATGAATAGCAAATCAGTGATTGCCAATATCAAGAATTAAGAAGTAAAATCAACAGAAAGTTAGGTGAGAAAAAATGAAAATTGATCAGCCGATGTCCTGAGTCTAGTCATCAAGTGATCCTCGAGCAATACAAGGTGCTCCCCTGACACCGGAGGGAGAGAAGAAAAAAAGGGAAAGAAGGGAAAAACGGTCCGTTGCAGACTGGAAGGGATCGTTCCTGATCAGGAACAAAGAAACGGATGAGAAGTTCGTTCGCGGCGTGTCACAGTGACGAGCGGTTATCTTCATCTTTCAACCTTTTATTTTTGTCAACGATTAATGCAATGAATAATTAGATCGGAAACGATAATCGTTGTTACGGTAGTTAGAGTACCGGCGGTATGTCAGCCGCGGTCGATTTGTCTTTCAAGCGGAAACCGTATTGGCGAAGACAAAACGGTTCGATGCGATTCGAGACCGATTAACGAATTCGTTCGTTTCGAGGGGTTACTTGAGAAATATTTCGAGCTGATTACAGACGACCGTCTTTGAGGGAACATATCGAGCTAAGGGTCGAGTTCGGCTGGCTTCAACCCTTTCAGTGCTGTATACTTATTGCCTACAGTGTACCTAAGCACAGGCAAATTTTGGGGAAACAATTTTATTCGTTTTTCGGGATTTTTAAAAGGATCTTATAAGTATATTAGGTCTACCAGAAAAACTGTTCGATAATATTATCTCAAGTTTTTAAAGATGGATCATTCTACAAAAACAGAATCTACAAATTACTATCACGTTGTAAACAGATCATTAGTAAGGATGGAAATTATATTGTTCATTAAATATTAATAAATGTATTGAAAATCTATTATATTCTGTTAATTAAAAAACAAACAGAACTTTCCGGTAAACCTAATAATAGTCTTTACCCTGTAAATCGAATCTCTGTAGATCTATTGCGAAACTGGTGGAAGATTCTTTCTTTCGTGTGTACGACTTTATAGTACTGAAAGGGTTAATTAGCTTGTTGACTACACTCGCGAACGACTTGGAACGCAGAGGCTGGGCTTTCACGACGTGCGAGGGAGAACCGTTCGAAGAATAAACTTGAGGTTTGTCACTATAGGCCATTCGATTCGACCCGTCCCCATCCCACTCATCATTACGTGTTTCTTAGTAACGAGGGTCCTGTGTGAATCGTCTCGACACGTTTTTTCGTGACTTCCAGTCCCGCTCGGATAATTCCTGCCGCTAATAGCTGTACAGTGCATGGACAGACCGGCAAGAATCAATGCGAACGGTGTTCAAGAGGAACCACTAAGTATCAGCCCCTTTCCATCAACGCGGTATGGGTTCTTTTACGGCGTACTGACACGAGTCGAGATCGGTACAGAATTATTCATTATCGATGAATCTTTTTTTCATTTGAAAACGGTTGTATTTTTCGTGGTTTCTTCACTGTCTACTGTTTGTTTAACTCTGCTGTGAGTTTTTAGATTTTTTAATTCAATTGTGTTTTTATTTTATTTTGGTATCTTAATTCTTTAATCAAATAAATAGATATTATTGAATTGATTCGATCACGTTCTTTTGTTCGAGAATACTTCTGAATTTGAAAATAGAGAATGTTTGAAATGTGTGGATAAACTGACAATTGCAGCATATTTAATATCACGGATCAATCTTTGTTTTATTAAATACAGTAGTTTTATATTATGAAGAAATCTTGTTGGGCCATTTATTGAAGTGAATCTATTCTTTCATAGATATGTATTAGCTTCCAAGTCTTTTAGAATAATTTAATTTAAATTTAAATTTATTCCAAAGTTTCAAATATAGAGAAATTTTTAATGAAATTTCTTTAATCTTTGAATGAATAACTAAACATTCTACTCAAGGAATATTATAGAAACATACAACTGCATGCAATAATAACAACAACAAAATTCAACTTCATCGGAACATAATTTTTACTATAACTTTCCATCTTATTAACCAATATATCCAAAGCTTTAGTATCGCAGCACCAATTCTGAAAACTTTTCTCAAAAGCACAGTTACAAATAGCAACAAAATTAAGTTCCATGAATTGATCTAAAAGTCTTCATCAAAGAATTAAAATATCAAACACTTCAATCTCGATCCCCCTCGCTTCAAGAAACGCCAGAACCATCCCGCGCGAGGAACCTCCCGCGCGCGATATCGCACATGAGAACTATGCAATACGTCTAAACTTGTAACGCAACCATGATCACTATGTACACGTAAGTTTACAAAGATTCCTGCGAGAAAGTGAATCCTACCGAAACTCGAACGGTGCCCCTCACATGACCAATTTCTCGAGCGAAACTTCCGGTGTGGTCGAGTGCATTGTTTCCGGTGTGTCGAACCTATCGTCATCCGAGTCGTCGACCTCTTCGACCGACCTAGACTCGTCCTCGGGCGCCCTTAACGTAGTCGTCGGCGTGCCGTTGGCATCGACCGAGACGACAGAGGTCGAGTCTACCGTGGTGGTCGTGTGCTCGCTCGAAATCGTCGAGGTGGGATCGTCGTCGACGTGCAAGGATTCGGACAACGATCTCGAGGTGTCCTCCGAGGCCTCGGGTACTTCTACAGAGGACAGGCTTTGGGGAGATCGATCGGAAATGGTCTCAGGAACTTTCGTGGTTGTCGTTCGGGAGGTTAGATCGGGAATCGTGGTCGCTTCGTAGGGGGCCGTGACAGCAACGCGATCGATCGTCTTCGCGCGATTCTTCGCGAAAGCTTTGCCCGCTCGACGGGAGCCGGGGTTCGGTCCGACGCCCTCGTTCCTCGGTAACTTGGCCTTGCGCCTAGGCGAGGCTCCTCTCCCTGAAGGGGCGGTTGACGCACCAGGAGACCACCAAGAGGAAGAGGACGTTGCGGGGATCGATGCGGAAGTTGCCGTCGGCGCCGCAGACGTGCTGCCCGCTCTGCCAGCCGTGAACCTCTTCCGGGCTAGAGGTGCCGCTGGCTGATTCCTCCTCGGCGCCGGCACCTTCTTCTTTTTCTTCTTCCCGTCCGTCAAATTAGGCTTTTTACTTTGACTGATGCTGCCAGCGGCGTTTACTTTTTTTGACGCTGGTGCTTTGCTCTTACCGTTGCTCGCGGTGACGTTCCTGGCCTCGGTCGCCTCGTCCACCCGCAGCTTCCGCTTCTTGGATGGGACCGAAAGGGCCTCCCTTCGGCAGGCTTCCTCGCTCGCCGCACCCTCGCAGGATCTCTTCGACTCCGGGGTAGTAGCACTCGGAGCCTCGACTACGGCGGTCGAATTAGCCTGGACACCTTCACTGCTAACACCACCGTTCTCCTTCACCACTTGACACTGTGGGCCTGGCTTCTCGCCCGGTCTGCACTTTCGCTTCCTCTTCTTCCTCTTCTTTCGCTTGCGACACCTGAACTTGTCTCTGCCGTCCTTTTCCTGGACCGGAAGAGTGGGGCAGAGCGACTGCTGGATCAAATCACCTCGATGGCTGTTGTGCCGGTGACGGACGTTGTGCTCCGCGCCCAGCATCCGCCTCTGAAGCGCCTCGACCCGTTCCAACGGGGCGACCTGCGTCAACACTCTCGCGTAGGCGGACAGTCTGCCCAGGTTGTGACCCTTTGCCTGTACCCTCCTCGGCTGGCCCCGACGATTCAGACCAAGATACAACGTCTTCTTCGTCGTGGACCATTTCGCCGAACTGTACGTGTTGTAGTTGTGCTGCTCGAGGGTCTCGTTGAACACGCAGTCGTCTGTGTACTCGCGCTGTAACAGAGAATCGGGGACGGCTGGTTAGAGTTTAAATAATGACGTTTGTAAAGGTTTGTTGGACAAGTTGTTTGGGTTTTGAGAATGAAAAATGGGTCTTGGGCTGGAATGGTTGTATACTTCGTTTTAGAAAAATGTTCGGTCTTTTGTAATTGGGGATGCTGACGTGAGGGCATTAGATGGATACGTTTACAGTTCTTGGAAATTTGTAGCTGTTCGGTTAGGGTTCGCAGTATTTCAAGAGAAAGTGAAAACGTAAAATACGTGTAACGAATGCGAAATTTGTAAATACTAAATTTGAGAAATTCATTAAATATGTTTTTTGAAAGGAATATAATGGTTTCATGTAAAAGTAGAATTTAACTTTTATCTTAACTAGGTAAACGTAAAAGTTAATATATCCGAATTAAGGAATAATAAAGATACTTAATATTAAGTTTAATAATAAATATGACACGTCAATTTATTTGTAGATAACTGAAGCAATTAGTTGTAGTTACTTAATTTCACAGAGATAATCGAGGGATAGTTTATAAGATAAGATATTAAACTATTATTGGCCAGTAATGTATGCGAACACTGCCGCAGTTCCTATTCTTTACATGTATATAAATAATACCTGCAGTGATTATGGTAATCAATTTTTCATGAATGCATAAGTAGATCAATTCATTATAATTTTATCTTTTTACTTAGACACTTTTCCTTACGATTCTACTTATTACATCATTATTTAAAAAAGACCGTTGTATGAATTATTTGAAATCGTTTACTTTAATACAAGCAAAGGCTAACATTATTTTCTGTCAACCTAATTATTTTAATATAATGTAAAATATTACAGTATATGGCAAAACGAAAACGTATTTTTGAATTTATGTGCTACAAAACTGTGTACATCAAGGCGAAGAGTATAAACATGTTTAATTCAACGATTTTCAATAGAGAGAAAATTGGAACAATAGTAATTGAACTTGAATCGCTCTGAAGAATCATCATAAAAGACAATAACTTTCACGATTATCCATCTGTTTAACCAAATTAATCACATAAACTAAGATATTACAAAAATCAAGAACGAACTTCAAATTCAGTTTCATTTTCAAGTTTTTATCTTATCAAGGCTTATCGAATCACCTTTTTAAATGCCTACTAGACATAACTCAAGGCAATTACTCAAAAGGATAAAAATCGGTTTAAAACTCTTAAAGTAGCTACATCTTGCTCTACGATCCGATTCTCACTTTCCAAAAATTACCTAATTTGCAATTACACTATAGATGATATTATTTTGAATTCTGTGACGGAAATACGTGATTTTGGTGTCATATTTTCCTCAGATCTTTCATTTTCTAAGCACATCTTAGTTACATCAAGTGCAACTTTCCGTACTCTTGACTTCATTCACAGGGTCTCTAAGTACTTTAAGAATGTTAATACGATCAAAGTTTTGTTCTGTTCCATAGTTCGGTCACGTTTAGAATATTGTGCAATTGTCTGGTCACCCCTATCTCTGCTCCAAACTGGAAAGCGTGCAACATAATTTTTTGCGTTTGGCTTCCCGTAAGCTGAATTGTAGTATGTTTCGTCTCGATCATAACTATTCGCCTGTTTTATCTTGTCTTAACCTTTCATCTCTTGAACGTCGTAGAATATTATTTGATCTTATTTTTGCTTTTAAAATATTAAATGATCTCTCTTGCTCTCCTGAGATCTTATCGAAATTTTATTTAAATACATCGCAGTCATCTCTGAGATACCATCTAATATTACATACTGAAGCTCATAGGACGGTTTACGGCCAGTTAACTGTCAATAGATTTTACTGTTTTCTCAATTTTTCTTCCTCCCTTATTACTTTTAGAAATAATACATGCGACAAAATAAACAAACGTTACTCTAAATATCTTCGAAATAATAAATGGTTCGTAACGCGACGGTATAGTCAATAGTTACTCGTGAACATCGCAATAAGTCATTTAGTATTCAAAACCAAGTGACTCAAAGCGTCCGACAAAGCGGTCATAACGTTTTACGCCTGCCAGACTGAACCATTAAGGTTAAAGTTCGAGCCTCAAGTTGCAACGATCGTTAAGATCGAAAAATAAACAAATAGAGAAAAAAAGAATTAAGAAAACGAAGCGTTCTGAACGTATTCATCGCGCGATGAGGGGATATCCTCTGGATATTCCCAGAACCAGTGGAACGCTCCTACGATCGTTATCAATTCTACGCGGTTATTATTCGTCATTATCACGTTGTAATTGCACGGTCGAGAGTTAGAAGATGATGGCCACCGTAGTGAGGCCTCTGTCTCCCGTTTAACACGCAATTCCGTCTGGCATAGCGGTTGCACGGCGTGGAACGGGGCTTAACGTCGTGCCAGGGCGAAATACGAACGGACAGGCTTCCCGATGGAAGCTAAATGAGCATTAAGCATAATGCGGAACCAGCCGGACCGGCCCTCGCGCCGATGCCCGCACACCAAGCATTATGTTTTCGCTAGCTCGTACCCGCTCGCCGCGCTATGATTTCGCTGTCCGCTTTATGGTAACTCGTTTCTAGACGAGCGGAAGCGACCGCGGTCTTCATCGGCTCTAATTACAGCATTTAAACGCTCTCGCCCCGCCGCCGGAAAAATCATCGGCCGAACAGAAAACCGGGACGCGCGGAAGGATGCGCGCGAAAACGCGAGACCGACTTTACGGCGCCGAAACCGATACCGATGACTTCTTTTCGTCTTTAACACGCTGAGTACTGCACGATTTTGCGGAGAAAAGTATAGAAAATGACAATAATGTAATATGAAATTATGTAATTGATTTGCGTTATTATCATTGCAGGTTTAGTTTGTTGAATATCACTACATTAGGTAGTATTACTTGCAATATAAAAAAGTTTTCAAATAATCATCGCTTGGTCGAATGAATTAAAGTAATTCAGTTTGGTTGAGATCACCGGTGACCCCCATGGCATCCAACGTGTTAAACCTATGCATCAGTAGTGCATATGTGCGCGGATTTTTCCTGGTCTATATTACCGGACCGTATATGCGTGCGCTATCTTTTAGGGTATTATAACTAGAGTACATACGAACAAGAACACGAACAGTTGCGCCATGTCCATCATTAACATTAAGATTTACTAGTCAACGTTTTCCAATATTCATCGATACAAGTTCATCGAAGAAGGCTCGCAAACGTTGTGTAATTTGTATATTACAAAAGAAAAAGTAAACACATTTTATGAGTGCAATAATTGACGTGTGGCTATATGCATTATTATAGCGATAAATAAAATTATAAATTCTTTGCTTACGCTACTCTGTTTTTAATTTTCTATGCGTTTTAAATCATTTTTATATTCACGCAATAAACATTTTTAGTGATAAGGGCCAATTTTCCACTTTTCTGTATGATGCAAATGGGTTACATTCTTGCTGTATAGTAACGAGCGAGACTCCTGTTAACGAATTTTAGTATTTAATGAAAGTCAACGTTGTTTATTATGCATATGTAGAAGTGAATTATTATTTTGCTTCTCTCAACGTTTTTATGTTTGGAACAAACTTCCATTTACAATGAAGGGAGCATTTGTTTACGCATGAAGTACTGATAGTGCAACTTGTTAGACGAACTTAGTCGCAAGGAAAATTGCATGTTAAGGGGTTAATTACATACTGCTAGGAGATCGCTTGATAACTAGGTTGAGGAATTTAACTGGTGCATTTCTGTCATTTTTCTCGTCCAGTTTCTTGTTGGTTTTATTTTCTAATTCCTGATATTTTAAACTTTAAGCTAGAACGACACCACTTGTCTCTGTGCTGTTCAAATCATCAACTCATCTTCTAACTGTATGCATTGAGTTTTCAATGCATTACTGCAAAAGTTTCAAAAAAGTATGGGAGAGGTCAGAAATAAGTTTGAACTAATGCTTTTGTTTTTCAAAATACTCTTCAACATTAGTATATTTTACATTGTATTGTGATAGCACTTTCTAACTTAAAAATGTGAAGCTTTACAAATATAAAATTAGAAATGGCGAATCCTCGAAACTTTTGCAATAACCTACTTATTGTACTGAATATAAGCTTTCGGGTGTAAGCAGTGTCCTCTAGGAATTATTTCCCGACGCTTCGCCATTATTGCAGCTGGCATCGTCAGGGATCAAAGACGCACTGATACGCACTGATTTTATTTATTGTTACGAAGAAAAGACGAGGGAACACCTGGAAGGCGTGACACCGTTTAAACGTTCGCCACCGAGCGAAAGGAGTAAATCTTCCCGACGTTCGGTTTTATGAGCAAAAACAGCCGGTGCCGATCAGTTAAAAGGGCATCAAATGTGGGATAAAATAATTTCAATTACATGTTGAACCCGATTTGATACTCGAGCCGGGATTTAATTGCCAAGTTGAGGCACTATTCCGTGCACGGCTGTTTGTAGAAAGGATATTTCTATGTATGTACATGTAAGCGACATGAAATTAACGGAATTGCACTACTGTTCAGTCAGGAAATTATAGTTAAACCAGGGGAACACAGGGACTATTATAGATTTCTTCTCGTTCGCCGAGTGTACGTCACGGATTGTTCCCGGCGCTTTCGATTAGAAAATATTTCGAGTTTATTAGGATTTCCTAACACTAGATTTACAGAACAAGTTAATTTGGCTCGTATCAAATGTTATAAACATTATTTGATAAATGTATAGGTCAGTTTTAATTGATGCAGTTATGCAAATATATATCCTAATTATCTACTTTCAAACCTCTAACATTCAAGATCTAAATGAACAAATATCAATATTTTTAAAAACGATAGGACAAACTTTATAGTAAATGTATGTAACTCTAACGTTCAGTTATTCAGCCGGATCTCGCAACCATGTTATTACGAATGAAAAGCGGAGAGGAAACGCGATAGTTGTCGCGGAAAATGTATTATATTTTCAATGATTCGATTCGCTTGGGAAGTGGCGAGCTTCGACGGGTTTAT